TCTGCCATTTAATCTCGAATTAATGGTAATATTCTTTCTAGATCTTATTCGATTGTTATTGAAAACGACAACCCTAATTTTGAGAACCATGTTTACTACTCTCGACACAGATAAAAAAAAATCACCACACATTTGAGCCGTTTTTAGGGTTTATATGTTGTTAATCAATCCGTTCGCTTTATTATTGTATTCAAACTAAATTTAGTTTTTATGTATCTGATATTTTCTTTATTTTGTTTAGGGAATTTTGGATCTCAACTTACAGAAAATTTATCAGAAGACAATTTGATCATAGGGATCTCCGTCTTGGATTTGGAGCTGAGCTCGCTACATATGGGGTTTTGTATGGAGCCTCTCAATGATGGCTAATTGTTGAGATTAGAATCAGACATGTTATGTTCATTGATCCCGACATGTCACGTAACATGGTTTTATACTTGTGAGGTGTATTGTTATGCTGTTGTTCAAAATGAATTGGAACCCTTATTTCGTAGTTGTCACCTCGTGACAACTAATTCTGAAAAGGTGACTTTTCGTAAAGGGTGTTTATTAAATTGCTAAAACGGAACTACTTGGTTTTATACTTCCGAATATCGAGGTGAAGTTCATTGATCCCGACACAGGCCGATCACTCCCTAAGAACACTTCCGGTGAGCTTTATGTGAGGAGCCAATGTGTAATGCAAGGTTACTTCAAGAACAAAGAAGAAATCGAGAAGACGATCAATGAAGAAGGCTGTCTTCACACAGGAGATATAGGTACATTGATGATGATGGAGATATCTTTATCTTTGATCGCATCAAAGAACTCATCAAATACAAAGGTTTTCAGGTAATTTGGTTTTTCAGCTCGCTTTTTATTTCCGGTTTAATTCTGCACTCGATCCTAAGCATGAAGAAGTAGTAGAAGAAACTATGATCCTTGATCTCTTACAAGTAATTGCGTGGTTGTTTAACGGTTTATGAACCCTTTGACGCGTAATCTAATCTCCATTGATTAATCAACACTCTTTGGTTTTACGATCTCTTCTTTTTACCTTTGTTAATAATTCCGTTTCAATTCTGCACTCAAATCAATCTTACCTCTCCTAGCGATTTCAATCCGCAAAAGCATCTCAAAATGTTCAGTTACAAAACTTTCTTAAGGTGCAAAATGCTACACAAAAACTCACCTTTCTTCTTAAGTCACCTCTAAGCAAAAAAACCCCAAATATTGGACAACTTCAAATTATACAATCACCACGAGTCCCTTCGCGGTTACTTAGTAGATGATCACATAAATTTGAATACTCCAACTCAGCTTTCTCGAGCTAAGATTAGTAGTAACCAAAGAAGAACACACATTTCTGATACAACCAAGGTCTATGAACATCTTTATCTTACATAACCAACTCCAAATCCAAATCAATAGTAAAGGAAAAAAGACAATTCTAACCATAACCAGAGCTATATATATTACACAAGGATCTTAGGAGCAACGCTTTCAATGATCATTTGTCAAGAAGATGTGTCCGGATATGAATTTTATTTATTAATAGTCATTTTAGTTTGTA